ACTAAACTGAAAATGACTAGTTGCCCCAAATGCCTTATATGGTTTTTAATTCTTTGTTAAAATTATAGGTCTACATTATTTCCATTTGTCCTACACATGCATATGCTACTTGGAACACAACAATATATATTAGATTTTTTAAGGCAACATTTTGGTATTATTTCTTTAAAGTGAGCCCTGTGCATAGATACATCACATTAGATGTGATTTTTCACTTCCTTCTGGAATCAATAGACTTCAAGGTGATTTATCAAGTGTAAGTGCATCCAAACTAAAACCAAAGAACAGATAGCACTTTCCTGGGAATAACAACTTTAGAGTATGCTCAAGTTCTTTCTGACATGGTTAACTCAGCGCCTGACCTCCAAACAGGAACTCTCCAGAGGCTGAAGTGCACACTTTCTTATTGATGGGCATCACTCCGGGACAGTGTAAACAGGACATTCACCTTTTTCAGTTCTGTGCCATTTATTTGTCAAGGGCTAACTCTTCTTAAGCAAATACATTTGGTACTTTTCCATCTTTGGCCTCAGTATTAGCTGCATTTTCTCTACAATTAAGTAGGCATCCTGTATTTTTATTTATTTATTTATTATTCAAACTTATATACCGCCACTCCCCTGGGGCTCAGAGCGGCTTACATTTTGCTCGGTTTTTGAATGATTTTTGCCTAAGCCTATGCATACAGCAATTCAAGTACTGGTTCAGGGCATCGTTGTTGAATAGGCGTCTGCAAAGTGTGGATCTCCTGAAATAGAAGTACTACAGCTCCCAAAATTCATTATCACCCACTTTGTTTTCTGTAACTAATGGGAGTTGCAATCCAACAATATCTGGATGATCTTCTTTCGTCCACCCATTATGGAAACAGCAATAACATACTGATCAGTGTTTGATGCTACAGCAACTAAAGAAGTCAACTGTCTCTCTTGTATGTCAAGTACACACTTTGTTTGCTATGGGGGCACCGATTTCATGTATTTCACATACTGCCTTTCTCTCAGTATGGGAATATCCGTGGATTCATTTGCAGAGCCGATACAATATACTGTACCACTGTATACTGATGATGTGTTTGGGATGATCCATACTTTATGTTTTAGCAGATGATACCATAAGTAGTGGCTTGCACTGTAAAACAGAGAAAGATTACCCTTATCAAGGGAAGTGGAATATAGCTATCCAGCTCAGTTATACGTAATTTTATCCACCTCCCAAGTTACTTTTGGCTTTGCATACGATGCATCTATACTGTGGAATGAACTGACACCACTTTAACTGCCATGGCTATGGAAACAGGGGAGCTTAGTTTTTCACAAGTACCTAATTTATTGGGATGTTATGAAGAAAACCTCTTCTGGCAGCTAAATCTGTTTGTCCCTCTTTCTCTCTCTTTTGCACACGCATACACACTCACATTATGTGGAAGATTTCACTCAGGAAATATTTTTCAAACAGTTTAAGGTGATGAGTGATTCTTGAAAGCCCAGGATTCAATCCTATAATCTGTTTGTACTGAGCACCACAACATACAATCAAGATATAAGAAAAGTTAGTAATTTTTCTACTGCACTGTTTTACAAAGCCTACAAGCCAAACATTGGATTGTTCTATTTATTTTTTTTACAAAAAAGTCAAAAATGACATGTAGCAACCAATAGACATCTTTACAACAGATCTGAATAATTTGAAACTACTTCAATGACAATTAGGTCACCACCTAGAAAAGGCAAACAATTTTAAAGCACCCAAGAGCAACTTCTGCTGGATATGTTATGATAGTAAATATTCAGGTCAGAAGAACCTAGAGGTAGTTGTCTGTACATGTATATACAGTTTCTTATTCCATCTACCTATAAAACTTTATTATAACTATTAATCCAAGCAACCAAATGTAGTTTACAAAGAGTGCAGAGCAATAAAATTTAGCAGAATTTGCCCTCTGGTTAATCACATGCACGCTAGCTTTTAGTTAGAGGTTGCAGCTATGCAAAAATACAAATCAAGACCATTGGTCTCTCCATGCTATCTAGTCAGAGTCCAGTTACACTATTGTTTACCACAGAGCTCCATTTCATCCCCATCCTGCCCAACATCTGTTGGAAACCACTGAATGAAGTTATTTGATATGAGATGTCACCCAGCACTATCTTTCCTTTTTATCATATTTAGGTGAGACTGGAGTGGTGCTGAATGACCATCTGGAATTGATTATGATGAGAGCCTATAAAATGAAGACCACTGATGGGTTGGTTGGGGAAAAGACTGGTCAACCTTTGTGGAATAAAGTTGACATTTCCTGGAAAGTTCAGTTTGGAGAGCTGCTGTTAGATCTTGCCTTATTTTTGGAAGTAGAAGAGACTTCCTTAAAGTGAATCCAGATCAAGAATAAAACAGATAACAATTGGTCTTAAGGAGGCCCACATGCAGGTAGGATGCAAAAAAAAAAAAACAGGAGCAAACTGTGAGCAGACAGCTAATCCTTGGCAAGCAATGGAGTTTCAGATACACAGATGTTCAGGTCTGGGGAGAAAGGCAGAGATTATATGACTACTTTTAACAGTAGATACCTTAGGGAATAATGCCTACAGTTTTTATGAGAGCCAATAAGAAATCAGCAGGGCATCATAAAAGTTATAAAGTTCAGTAACTGTTGAGGCCCAGAATGAAAAGTGAATAATGAAAGAAATAAAAGACAATTGATGAAATCCAGCATTGCTATTATTACTTGATCTGCAGTCTCCTTCAGAGATTTCCCACTAGTCACACATTGTACTAACTGAAACTATAGCATCTATATATACTGTTCTAGTCTTATCAAAGTTGTAACAGAATATTCAGAGTAAGCAGTTTCTATAGAAAACCAAACCAGCATTTTTTATTCTTGTGTGGCAGATTTTAAAATATTCTTTCTAAAACAGTCATTTCAGATATTTTGAAAACACTTGAATATTAGTCATGTTGGTTGAGGGTGCTGGGTGCTGAAATCCAACAACCTTTCTGGATCCCCCCTTGGGAACCATTGATCTAGAGTATTGCGGGTTAAGTTAAACCTTTGCAGAAAGTGGAAAGTGGTCACTAAAAGTTCCTCCCTTAATGTTGAATTTTATCAATGAATCTTTTTTATAGTGAGGAGAAACACTGGCTTGTAGTGGGACATGCTAGAAAACTAAATTCTGTGGAGATACGCACACACACACACACACACACAATAATATTGTGATCTATGCAGGACTGCCTCTGAAGAGTGCTCGAAAACTTCAACTGCTCCAAAGAGCTGCAGCCAGGTTGCTAAGTGAAGTTGGCTACAGGTAGCAGACAACCCCCCATTGTAGCAGCTCCATTGGCTGCTAGTCTGCTTCCGGCCCCAATTCAAAGAGCTTCTTTAAAGTCCTAGATGATTGAGGTCCAGGCTATATGGCTGACTGTATCACCTTGTATGAACCTGCCCAGGCCCTGAGATCTTCAGGAGAAGCCCTTCTCTTGGTCCCACCTCCATATCATGCATGGTTGATGGAACGAGAGAGCAGGGCTTCCTTCTCAGTGGCTGCCCCTTGATTCTGGAACTCCCTGCCCAGGGAAGCCAGAATGATCCTCTCCTGCTGTCTAAATATCTAGGAGAGATTTTGAGCATGTACAGTAAAGTAGGAAAAACCTTTTCCTTCCTAGTTCTATTGAGAAATATAGTCAATGGAATCACACAACTGGATTCAACCATAAGAAACACTAGGCAATACCACAGGAGATATGATCAGTTGAGATGGGAAGAAGCCATGATGTCGCATCTCAGGCCGCATCTGCACTGTCACATAATGCAGTTTTATAATGCAAGCTGGATCTATACTGCCATATAATCCATTTCTATGTAGTCAATCTGCATTCTGAGACTGTATTAGATGGTGGTATAGATCTAGTCAATGCAATTTCAAACTCCATTATATGGAAGTATAGATCAAGCCTCAGACAAGAAAGGCCTATGTTTTATTGGGGAGTCACTGTGGTGTCGTGGTTTAAATAATGGAATCTAACTAAAAGAAACCAGGATCGAAATCCCAGCTCCACAATGAAAACCCACTGGATGACCATGGGCAAAACTGATGCTTTTCAGCCAGATAGAAGAGCAATGGCAAAGCCCCTGTGGAAAAAAAACTTAATGTTGACATAAATTGGTGTTGGCTTGAAGACACGTAGCAACAACAAACAAGCTTTTGGATGTTTCTAGATGTTTAGTGTTACCAATCAAAATACACAGTACAATAATTCTGTCTTCTGCTTTTAAATGCATTTTCTGTGGTTTGAAAAAGAAAAGTAAGAAATCATAGCATTACATATAGACAGCAGATTTACATAAAGACAGGAGTGATATCTACACCTCCAGTAATATTCAATGTAGAAAGCAAAATTATTATTATACAATATTTGGGAACCTCTTTATGTTATTCCTGTGAAAGCATTACTAAATTCAAATAATAAGGTAGCAACATGGTTATTGCCAAAAATATTTTCTCTTTCAGTTAGAGAAAAAGTTGCAGAGAAGTTTTGATCTGCTTCCATCACAGGACTTTGACGGTGCATCTACACTATAAAATCAATGCAGTTTGAGACTACTTTAACTGCCAGGGATCACTGCTGTGGAATCTCAGGAGTCGGGAGTTTGGTGGGGCATCAACACTATTTGGCAGAAAAGGCTAATGACCCTGTAAAACTACAATTCTCATAAATCTCATAGCATTGAGCCACGGTAGTGGAAGTGGTGCCAAACTGCATTAATTCTACAATGTAGATGCATCCTGAGTCTTTCTGTGAAGTGTCCATACTGCCTCTTTCGAAAGTAAAACTAAATTACTGAGTTATTGGCTTGGGTTGTTTCTCTTTGTTTCATTTCATTACTTTGTGATGAAGTTATCTATAACATGATCTCCAACACATGTAATTCATACTGAAAAGAAGCAACTGAAAACATAAAGTACACTGGATAATAATGGTGAGTGTTCAAATACCGTATTTCTGCTTTCCTTCTTGTTGCACATTTCTTGAACTTTTTCCACAATGTCCTCTGTAGATAGATTGGCTGCAATGGAACTGATCCCAAGCAGGGCAAGAATCTGCCCTCTGAATGCATTGTGCAGACTTTTTGCAGCCCCAGCCTCCCTTATGGTACTTTTCAATGCCTCCTCTTTTTCACTGCAGCATTTCTTCATGAGGCTAAGTTCTTCCTGTGAGGCCTCCCAAGCTCTTTGAACAGCATTAAGTCTGTCTTGGAAGTTCCTCATCTCCTTCTCCAGACTCTGCTTAGCTTTTGTGCTGATGTTTAAATCCTAAAATAAACCCACAATAATTGGTTTCTTGGCACTGCATAGAAGAAATAAAAAATCTGTTTCACAACACTTGTATCAGTGGTTTTAGGATTTATATTGACAATTCCCCTTTGCTAACTCAAAAAGTGCATCTAGACTCCAGCTTTCCAAACTTGTGTTGTGACGCATTAGTGCATCAGCTGTAGTGCGTAGGTGTGTGTAACACGAATATAATGAGAAACCTCTGAGTCTATGTGAAAGGTTTCATGAAATATGTTGCATCCTAATACATTTCTTTATTACAATTCAGATATGTATCAGTATCTGTTATTAGGAGTTAGTTTAATAACTTCTGGTTTTCTAGTAAAGCTGAGTTACTGTGACACGAAATGAAACATGTATAAAAAGTGTGTCATCATCATGAAATGTTTGGAAAGTTCTGATCTAAACTGTAGAATTAATACAAGTCAACATCACTTTAACTGCCATGGCTCAATGCTATGGGATCCTGGGAGTTGTACAAGGTCTTTAGCCTTCTCAGTAAAAGAGTACTGACTTCTCACTAAACAATAAATCCCTCGATAATATTTATTTATTTATTTATTTATTTATTTATTTACCTTATGTGTATACCGCCTTTCCCAGCCCAGAGGCAACTCAAGGAACTTTAATATTGAAAAGGTTACAATAACTAAGAGGATGTAGGAACCAGTTAGGAATTATTTAGAGAATGTGCTAAGATGTGGAGGAGAAAAATTAAAACTGAGATTAATATTTCAAATGTAACTTCTGTACTATGATGTATAAATTGCATGTATAAGGAGGGGAGGGTGGGAGTGGGAAAACACATTAAACTAACAATAAAAAACTAAACAATAAATCCCAGAAATCCATAGCATTGATCCATGGAAATTAAACTACATTAATTCTACAGTGTAGCTGCACCCACAGAAATAATTGCTTATCCAAACAACACCTCAGGATTATTGAGGTGTTTTTTTTAACATGGAACAAACCTGAATTTCCAGGTTTATTCCATGTTTAAAAATGACTCCAAAGATCTGGACTTTTCAGTAAGACCCAGGTCTTTGGAGGTGTGGGGCCTTTGTAGACTGTTCCTGGGATTATAATTTGTGATTCCAAAAGCAGTCTCTACAGCAATCCTGCTTCTGTGGGCTCAAGCAACCCATGGAGGAATTGCCCCCTTTTTTGTCCTTAAAATGTTAAAAATAGGTTCCTTACTGAGCCTGGGGGGCTCTCTTTGCTCCATAGCACCTCTAGCAGACACCAGGGAGCTTTCAAAAGGGGAGGGGAAATTCCCAATGAAAGCTCTGTACATGATTTCATCGCAATGAAATGTTTCCCCAATTTGTGGGAGGGAAAATTGTGGGAAGAGCCAAAAGTCCCCTTGTTAGGGAAAGCATTCACTGCTATCCCTCCCGGTTTTCAACAATGAGCAGGGAGGAGGATGGTGGGTGGGGCCAAATCTCTACAGCATGAAAGAATACTGAAAGTAGAGACATTTAACAGTGTGATAGAAGGTAGAGAAACCATCAGTTTTATTAAAAAGACTGAGTAAGACTGAGCTCTTCTCTGCTCTCCTCTGCCACACACTTCCCTGACTAATGTGATGAAGTGAAGGTGCCATGGAGCAAAGGGAGCATCCCAGGCTCAGTAATGAGTCTATTTTAAATGTTTTAAATGCAATAAGAGGGATTTAAATTCCAATTCCCTGCACATTTTCTGCAGTGTGGAAGGGCCTTGAAATAAATGAATCCTTTTTTGTTTTCACCAGGTTAATTCATTCAACTGACCTACTCAATTGAGAATAAAATTGGATTTAGTGTGAATAATCATGCCTTCCTCATTCGGAGCAAGTAAGATAAAAAAGCTCTTGGGCCACCTTCTTCCTTCACCCTGGCCATGCTTTCCACAGAGGGCACCATGAGTAGGATCCAGACTGCCTCTGCCTTTAAAGGAACAGAACCAATTCTCACCTCTGAATTACCAGAAATAGCAAAAAAGCATGAATTTTAAAGAATGACTAAATAATGTTAATTTATTTTATCCTGATACATTATTTGTATAAATATTACTATCTTATCTTTTGGTTTTCCTCATATGCTCCTAAGGCACTTTTACTGATAACATACAAAATACACAACAGAATGAAAACAACCAACAGCAAAGCTAAGGGGGTTAAAACTCATTAACATTAAAATGTTAAACAAAACTGGACCTAAAATTAGCAAATGGGAGTAGCGAAAAGTGTCCTGCACCAAAGAAAAGATATTCAAACTGCAGGAATGATACTGCATGTGTGCTTTCTGTTAGAAAGCCTAAAAGCATCACAAGGGTGAGGTCAGAGAGAGACACAATTTAAAATAACAATAGCTATTATTCCTTTACAACTTTAATCCACTGATTGACACAAGTGAAAAAGACAGAATTATACCTTCAGAACATCTAAGTCCTTTACTGAGTGCATGCAAAATATTGTTTGATGTTTTTGCTGTCTCTGTATTTTTCATTGCATGTCTATTTCTGAATGCGAAATGGGAGGCTAAACCTCAGAGGTTGCATTTATTTTCATAATTATTCCAATGTTAAACACTGTTTCTTTTTTTAAAAAAACAGAAAACTGTTAAGTACATACTTGGCACGATTCTCATTCTAGTCTAATTGGAGATGTGGCAGCCAGAAAAAAAATTGCCTTTTAAAATGGTAGCACACATCAATTTAATTTAATTTACCCTTTCCTTTTCTTAAAAGATGTTGGTAGGAGAAAACGAGAAAAATATTCTAAAGCCAAGAGTTAAATTATTACTATTATAGAAATTAAGGAAACACTTTCAAATTATCCTAGCCCATGTTCTCTTTCCCTGTCACAGGTGCAGCACAACACTGCTTACCAACTTCATAATAGGTTGACGCTGATCTAATTTTATGTTATTAGGGTTTGAAAAGGTAAATAGAGACACAAGGCATTCACTCAGAAAATGGGCAAATAAATTGAAAAGGCATTTTTATAATTTGAGCTCAGGCTTAGGGACCCCTCCGTGGACCACTAATTGCCTCATTCACTTGTCCACATTATGTGGCCACTCTAGACCCCAGAAGTCAAAGGCCAGCCTAAATGAGGTTGTGATGTTTCCTACGTAAATGAGCCCAGGCTTATTGGTATGTGCTGAGTAGAGGAACCAAGGGTGCATCTACATGGTAGAATTAATTCATTTTGACACCACTTTAACTGCTATGGCTCAATACAATGGAATCCTGGGATTTATAGTCTGAGGGGGCACCAGCACTCTTTGGAAGATAATATGGAATACCTTGTAAAATTACAAGGTTCATGATTCTGTTGAGATGGGCCATGGGAGTTAAAGTGAGTTAAAGAAGAGACTACAAGCACCATCCAGTCCAGCCTCCTGCTATGCAAAAATATACAAAGGATGTCCAAGACTGGCAGCCCAACCCCTGCTGATGTTTCAGCATAGCAACACCAACCCAACAGTTTAGTGCTTGAGTCAGCTGTTCTTTTTATAGCCCATTCATGGGGCATTGGATGCTCTCATATAGAATGCTGGCAAAACCTGGTTTATTGCAAATGATATGCTTGTGAATGCACACACCTTCTTTGCTTATATGTATTTTATTTTATATGTATTGTTGATTCACTGTTGATGTTGATGTATGATATTTTAGATTTTATTGTTAGAATTGAATTCTTGCTGTCAGCCGGTCTGATTCCCTCTACGGAGGTAGAGAAGATCGGAATACAAAAGTTTTAAACAAATAACAAATAAATAAATAAATTACAAAGAAAAAGAAGAAATTAGACTTTATTTTTCAATGTGAATAAATTGCACTGTGGTTTTTCACAATTCCTTAAAGGGAAAATTAGAGGATGTGTGAAGAAGAAAGATTATGAAATGTATTTATTTATGACATTTCTATCCCGTCTTTCTCAACCCCGGAGGGGACTTAAGGTGGCCTGAGAATAAAATATTCTGGTATCTGTGAGGGTTTAAAATCAGGTAAGGGGTTTTAGCAAAGTCATTACAATTTGCTAGAAATGTCAGAAAATAAAATTGATAGTTTGTTGTTGTTCATTTGTTCAGTCGCTTCCAACTCTTTGTGACCTCATGCCAATCCGCTACCGGGCACAATTCAAGGTGCTGGCTTTAGCCTATAAAGCCCTAAACGGTTCTGGCCCTGCTTACCTCTCCGAACGCATCTCCACCTATGAACCGACCAGAACATTAAGATCGTCTGGGGAGGCCCTGCTCTCGATCCCGCCTGCGTCACAGGGACGAGAGACAGGGCCTTCTCAGTGGTGGCCCCTCGGCTATGGAATGCCCTACCGGCAGACATCAGACAGGCACCTCCACTGCTGACGTTTCGGAGAATGGTTAAGACCTGGCTTTATGAACAAGCGTTTGGTTAAGCAGTGCAACCAATCATAGGAAGACGGTAAATGGAACATAGGAATGGCACAAGGATTATGAGAACGGATCTGATTTCAACTGAGGCGTTATGTTATGTCTGTTTTGTTGATCTGCCTTGTTGATTGTTAACTGTTGTGGATTGATGCTGTTGATCCTGTTTGTTGCATTGTTATGTTTTAATTGCACTGACACTGTTTGATAATTGTACCATGTAAACCGCATTGAGTCGCCTGTTAAGGGCTGAAAAATGCGGTATAGAAATAAAGCAAATAAATAAATAAATAAATAATCATCATCATCATCATCATCCCACACCAGAGCTTCCTGTCGGCCGTCACCTCCCCCAGCTCCTTCAGAGTCAAGCCAGTCACTTCAAGGATGCCATCCATCTATCTTGCCCTTGATCTTGCCCTCTTCCTTTTTCCTTCCATTTTCCCCAGCATCACTGTCTAAAAGTAATAGTAATGATTATGATATTTTCACCTTGAACACATCTCTTTTTGAGTTTTTGAGTTTTTTTGGATGTTTTGAAGCTGAATGAAGCAGAAAGTATCCTAATATGGGAGATATAGA